ATAGTGCTCATAAATCAGGTAGTTTATACTTGTAGTAATTTCTGGGAGTGGGTGTTCATGTGCATGAGAAGATATTCAAAATTGGATGGTGAGATGAGCCATGATGAACATTAAAGGTCCGGAGGCAGATCAACAGCTGGTGTAAATTGTCAGGGTTTCATTGATTTCAATGGTCCTATGATAAATACTAATTCAGCTGGTGCTATAAAAAATGTCATCAGTTGAGCATCTGGTCAATAACAGTGGAGAATGAAGAATGTACAGGTGTTACTTCCACACCTTTGAATGGTGCAAAAAGGTAAAATTCCCTGGTTAGTCACATTTTTTGAAATCTGCCTTATTGGCTGGAGTAGTGCACGTGGCTATGCACGTGGAGACAAAGATGCATATACACACAAGAAGGCATTTTCTGTGACAAATAAATACTTACACGGCTTCTTCTGCTGTGACGGTACTTTTATCTTCACACAAAAACAAAATAAATTTCAAGTTACTGTATAAAAATTACTTGTACAAATTTGTTGCATTTCTACAAGGTTGTTCATCCATCCCAGTAGCAAGGGACAAAAAACTCAGAATAGGCTTTAATCCACAATTTACACACAATACTTAAATTCCTTTTTGAAACTAAAGCTTATTACAGAAATGATAGTTTCCCATGTGTACGAATTACTGAGAATTTTAATATCAACAAAAAGGAACGAAGCCAGGTTGCATATAAAAGTCTACACCTCCTTGGTGACTCTCAACAGGTTTTTTTTTTTACCCTGAACATTTTCCACCAGATAAAGTTCATTACCTTGTTCTAACCACTTCCCATTTCAGAAAGTTAAGATTTCACTGAACCTGTAAATAAGGAATTAATTACACAATAGCATTAACAGAGCCTAAGAGAAAAGGGACTTTGCGCATGGCTGGTGATGAACTCATCGATTCTGCTCTGGAGTTCTCTTGAACACCTTATCAAACGCTGCTGGTTTCTAGTCTGCATACAAATGTTTTCATGTGCCTGAATGAAACCACACCAGAATGTTTCGAGTGAAAGCCCGTTTGCCATGCTTTCAAATTGTTCATATTTATTTGGAGGCCTCAGGAGGACATCTTAATCTTAGAGTGTTATTATTTCAAATAGAAGAAGAGATTTTTAATGTTATTTGGAGAAAGTCCCTCAGCTTACAGGCTGAAGAAAAAGAAAAAGCAGAATTGCTGCAATAGATATTTTGACAAGAGCTTTGAATGAAAAACAGCAAAACCTCTGCAGGGAATTTCCTATTAATGTAATTTATTTGGGAGCACATTTTCACAATAATAATTAAATTATCTAATGCTCGCTTACATTAAAAAGCGACCATCTGTAACTGTTCATTACTAGAAAAAGAAAAAAAAGGAGGGGAAAGGCCAATATTCTATACTAACATGACAGGAAAAAAAAGCAGCAACTTACAAACATCAAAGGTATGCCATGATGTTTGGCAGCTTCCTATGAAGTCAGCTGTTTCATCTTCTGATGAAGGTGGCAACAGAAATTCCAACACCTCCTGTGCAGTGGGGTCTTCAAAACTGTAACATGTTTATTTGTTAGACCCCTATTCAGCTGGTTTTCAGGATGTTTGAGTAATAAAAATATCCTATAATTAAAAGACTTGTGATACAGGAATCCATCTTTAGTACAGATAACAAAAACAACTACATTTTCCAATGGGAGATTATATTCAGGAAGTTCATCCATGCCTTCCAAGTCTTCCATGTGTGGAGAATACCAGGTGTAACCAACTGAGATACCATTGAGAGAAATGTGTTTTTATAGGTTTTATTTCTCCTAGAAATGTCAGCACAGCACATTATATTGCCTGTAATTTTAATAGATAAACGAGACAATGATTCCATTGTTATTTTTTTTTTCTCAAAATGGTAGAATACATTTTCTTAAAAAGGTCTGCAAACATATTTACAAAAGTGTGAAAGCAATAAATGCAGGCTTTTTAATATTTTTACTGAACTTCCAAAGACTGACTGATATCCTAATTTTATTGGAAATCTGGTCCAAGGATGATACAAGAAATTAAATATCACACTCAGTTTTGCTTTCTTGTCGGATACCGTGGAAAACAAATCAAACAGATAAATATTTTGAAAATAACAAATTTATATTTCATGAGGCATAATGAAGATATTCCAAAACCATTTCCTATATTTTCATTTCAGCGTTAAAACATCTCTTGATCTTTCTTAATGTTGTGTTAAAACGTGGGACACCATCTTACTTTTGGAAAGCCAGCTGCTGTAATGTCATTATAAAGTAGCCACTAAAATATCATTCACAGTATCTGCATCACAAGAATGGACTTTTTTTTCCTCCAAACAGGAGTGACAAAATTTGTGTTGTTACTTCCATCTTTCACATTTTAAATACTATTGGCTGACAAAAATAAAGTGTAGTGTCATGCTTGGTTTACCTAAATCATTTATTTTGTAACTAATAAAAGTAAACAATTACCAGATACTGTATATAGAGAGATATATAGATATATGGCCACAAATAAACTATAGTAGAAAGTTATTTTGGTTTTGATAAAGTTAAGAAAAGCACATAAAATCATATTTCATTAATATCTTGTTTTATGGCCATCAATATTTTTGTATTTTTTTGTTTTGTTTCATCAACATAGCAAAATACAATCTTCTTATTAAACAATAATTATCAGATGGCAGACAATTCTTTTTATTGGTTTACATTGGCAGGTCACAGTCTAAAAGCACAACCACATCAGGCAGAAATTGCACACAGACCGCTCTGGATTTTGAAGACTATTTTTCATGCTCCTACAAAAAGTCCTTAATCTAAAACTGGGAACTGTAACGAGTACTAATTAAGTACATGGGTTTCTTTTTTTTTCTTTCTTTCTTTTTTTTTTTAATAGGTGAATAAAATAACTGAAATTGCAGTACTTTATTTTGGTTTCTGCTCAGTTTTTGATGCCCATGCTCCATGTTAGCAAAAACGCTCTCAATTTCCCAGCAGTCTTTTTATAAAAGTTCAATCACCCAAATAAAACCCAGGTGATTTTTTTTTTCCTTATCATGGAATACTGCAGATTTATTTCAATTAGGCCTGTTTCTTGGCTTTTTTTTTTTTTTTTTGGTGTTGATACTGCATTTTTAACTCATCCCTGAAATCTAGGGGAGATTTACATGTGATATTATGACACCATACAGTCACAATGTCAATATTTCTGTAAGAAATGGTTGTAGGTGGGGCTGACCAATAAATATGCAGTTGTATTAGTTGTAGAAGGCATTTTCATGTCTTCAAGAACCAGACTGGTCTTAAGATATTACTCTTTATTTGAGACAGTTACCATTACTTCATTAAAAAATGACAAAACAGCAATAAACATTTTAGCTCTTTAATGAGCAAAGATCAGGTCTCTTAACATTGGAATAATATTCGTTATCCAGATTATCTTTATTTCACTCAGTGACCAGTAATATGGCCAAGAAATACAAAGTAATTTTCCATCAAGTAGTATACAATTTTTGTGTGTAATAAGCTTTCATTCTTGAAAAAGAGTAACTGAAAAGAAATGTTTCTGTTACTGCAGTTAGTTTGTCAGAGAAAGTTCTTCGCATTATCTTACAAACTATCAAAATTGCTAGTAATTTGAAAAAATGTAAAAAAAAATCACATAACTTTAGTCTAATAGAAATATAGTACAGGTAAGAGAGAAAGTATTTATCAGGGATGTGCTCTTAAGTCCATCTCAATTATTTCTTTTATATAAATGTACATCTGATTACATATACAAACATTTTGAAAGGACCGTGGTATAGAATTACTGGAAAGCAACAGGGGAATGAAAAATTTCTTGTGATTTTAGAACATTCACTTCAACTCACACAAACACATGTAGTATTCAGATTTCCAGTTGTTGGCTCTCTCCCCATTCTTACGTACCCTCCTTTTCTACACTCTTGCCATCTGGTCTAGAGAATTCATTGGAATGGAAAAGCTAATGTATAGCAAAAAAGGAATTAACATTATTTTAAAGTATTATAAGTAAACTTTGTTACATGCAACATGAGTTGAAATAATAAACTGAAAGGTGTAATCAGAGCTGTAATATTGGGGCATTTTTATATGGCAAAATGTTCTTGCAATTAAATTTTTTGGACACACTTTACCTTATCAATTTGAACTAAATGTAACTAAATCACAGCAAATTATAAATCGTTCTTCAAAGGAGATTCCATTAAAGTTTTAGCTATTTTAAAGTTAGAAATTATTTAGGTGGAAAGGAAAAAACTTAATAATACACATTTTTTGTCTGGGATTCATATCAGTGATGGTCCACCACTGTATACTTAGAATGCCATAAATACCTTTAAGAACTGTTGCAATTCCTTTTCTTTCTGAAGCTACCATGAAATATTTTACTGTAATTACTTTTGCCCCTTTAAAAAACTTCTTTAGGTTGTGCCAATTGATGGAGAAAGCTTCTATTAAAAACTCCAATGGGATGAGAAGAATTTTAATTACGGCTTAATCAGCAGCACAGCCACCAAGCATATAAATTATCATGCACATCGTGCTAAAAATATCCAGTTTCCTTTATTCCCACAACTTTTATACTGACAGCACTTATGTGATAATGTTGTACCTGCCAGGCTGTAAAACTTCTTTGACTGGCAGATTTCAGCATGAGCCCCTTTCTAAGGCCTTAACAGCATTGGTGCTTTGTGTACTTATTCAAATATGTAAATATGGTCTACACAAGAAAACAGGTCCAAATAAAAATTGGTGAAAATTATCTGACATTCCATTAGTGTGTCCCTTGTGCATATTTATAGGTTTTTAAAATTTTCAGTCATAGTTCTTTCCTGTTTGTGTTGCACATGCCTAATTCCATTATGTAACTTAAATCTTCAAAAAATTAATACTTGAATGTGAATGAAAAAGTATCATTCAGGACAACTGCTTCAAGCAATTGCAAACAGTTAGGGTTTTGTTTGTTTGTTTGTTTGTTTCCTTTTGTTTTGTTTGTTTCTTAAGTTCATTTGATATATGTACAATTCATTTTTTCCAAAACCCCAAAAGTTCTTGATATGTATATTCACATAATATTCCTCCATATTTAAATAGTAAGAGTCTTGTAGGTTGAAAGCCAAGTAATCTTCAGTAATATCACCTACTGTAATCCATCAAAAAATAAAGTTTGTTTCGTCTTGTCTGGCTATACCCTGGTTGTTGAGTGTGAATGGGGGTGGGGATGAGGATGGGGCAGAGTATTGTTCTGTCCTCCGGTGAATGTGTTGAATGTGTGTAGGGGTTGAATCCCTGGTATAGTGTTGGGGATCATTGTGATGGTGTTGGGTGTCATTAAGGGAATATCATCAGGAGACCTTCTCATAGCTAGCGTGTAGTCTGGGGGACAGGCGGTCCTAAGAACCACCTCATGTGGATGGATGGACTCACATTCATGATCCAAGTCAGTGTGCTTCATTTGGAGGGACATTATCTCCTCTTCTTGTGCATGGGTAAGATCATTGGTAGTAGTACGTTGTGGGCTACATCTCCTGTGGACGTCGTGTCTCCGCTTGTCCTTTTTGTAGTACAATGCTGCAAAGGCCAAAATGTTCAGGAACAGCAAAGATGCGCCAACCGCGATAGTAACGCTCAATTCTGTTGAATAGTCCCTTTGATCCACTGAAAATGGGCTTGGTTGTTGTTTGGGATCATCTTGTTTGGCTGTAGGAAAGGCTGAAGTAACTGAAACTGAATTTTTCCTTGTTGGTCTGAAAGTATTATCAGTCGATGGCACTTTAGTTGTGGTAGAGGTATACTGTGAAATGTCGTTAAGATTGTGCAGATGAGGTACCAGTTCCAACCAAAGGTTCACTTTATTGGCCCTATAGTGTTCTTTAACTCGTGGTTTTAATCCAATGTGAAGATAGAGTTGGTCTTTCTGAGAGTATCTGGTCCATGCTACTTCTTCAAAACGATTTGGTTTCGTATGGATGAATTTTGTATCTTGCGGCACTGGTTGATTTGGGTCACTAAAAAAAAAAATAAAAAAGAGATATCTCTAATGTTACAAAGCATTTCAAACGGAATTATAAAATTAACATAATTAAGATTTTATACTAAATGTTTAAATCTGCCTTTGGACGGAGCAGAGTGCTATTCCCTAAAATTAGAGACCTTAATAATCTTGACTAGAAACAGCATTATGCAAATGAAACCTTCTTTTACTCAGACTTCAGCGACTCTCCCAGTTCCCCAAAATGTTAGTGTCTGTCTTACACTGAGATCTTGTGCTGCTGAGGACAGATTGCCACCAGTGTGGTGATGTGGACAAATGATGAGACGAGTGTGAGAGGACTTTAAGATTTGTTTTTCTTTTTTACCAACATAAAGCTCGTAGAGCTCAGCATTTCCTTTCATATGCAGCTTTTGTGGCCTTCCGGGGTAAAGATCATGGCAGAGCACAACTCAGTGCAAAAAAAGTCAAAAATAACTATGATCAAAGGTAACAAAGTATTTTGAGCTTCCAGTGAAAGAAGAATTAATGAAAATGACAACATTTTCCAAATTGAAAGTCACATATTTGATAATCAGACACATCAATTTAAGACAAACTGTGCTCTTAAAATAAGATGCATTATATTTGATGCAATATTTTCATAATTTTATGTCTCATGGGATGAAAACATCAGTGTTGGGGTGAAGTCAGTTACTAATGTAACTATATTTAACTATACAAATATGTTAAATGCTTAATTATACACCTTTATGGGGTTCCTTACTTATATTTGTGTATTTTTAAAAACTTCTTCACACAGAATTTCCACAAAGATGTTATTCCATCTTTTTACCAGAATATGTAAGTGAGCTGAGGGATATTATAATAAACATCAATATCCAACCCAATTCTTAATCCCTTATTCATCCTATAAGTTCAGAGGCATTCCCAAGGGAGATAAACATTGGAAAGCACTGCATCATTCCATCCTGAGTTTGCACACAAGACCATTCATTATCTGGTACTCACCCAGTCTTTGCAAAGTTTGTCCAGTACGTCATCACCACAGCACTTAGCATGACATCATTTTTGGAGAAATTGCAAGGAAATAATTCAGTAGGACCAATCATGGGGATTCCCAGTACGTAAGGAACCTCATCTCCATGGGCTGCATCTGCCCATGCAGGTACCTGATCTGTCTGGCAATGATGGTAGAAGGCATAGAAGTATGTAGGCGATCCAAAATTCGAGTGAAGATCTGCTGTGGCCACCGCTGGTGCAACCCACTGGTGATCAGTAAACAAAGCCAGCAGTGTTTTCCTTCTGGTCTCAGGATTGTGTCGATCCGCCCAGTCCGTGTACATAAATTTAATAGTTTCCCTCAGTATATCTTTGCCTTCTGGGTATCCGTATAAGTTATCGACAAAGTTAGAAACTGCGAAGTCAAAATCGCTGGCTGATATGCCATCTTCGCTATCCACGATGTTTTCGACAAATTTTAACCCTTCCCCTTGGTTAACTCCCAGCATGATGTCGTAGTTGAGGAATTCTCCTTGTTCCATCAGGATCTGAGGATCATCTGGTATCACGTCGCCATCTATTACCGGTCCGAAGGCTATGTGGTATCTTGCTGGTTGAATGTCCTGGTCGACAAGTTCTCTATAAGGCTTCTTCTGTAGACATTCTACCAGTTCTACAGTGTCTGACATGTTGCAACCAACTTTTGTAGCCAACATCCTGGCGTATTTCGCAGGCTGAAAACTAACTGCCCAGCTGGAGAGAGCTGTTCCACTTTGAGCTATTGCTCTTTGAAAAAGTCCTGTGGGGAGAAATATTTGAAAACTACTGAAGTGACCTTGAAACAGCCACAGACTTGAAAGATTCAAAGGAGTTCTTTGAAACAACAAGAAAACTTCAACAGAAGAGATACCTGAATCTTAATAGTACTTAAATACATGGGTTCTGACTGCTGTTGTACCTGCAGGTAACGTGCACAAAATAAATGCAATATGTGCTGAAGCAAATGATTCTACCTCAATATAGTCCAGCTGAGGAACAGACTTTCAAAAGAAACTCAGGCAGTAAAAAAGAAGTGGCATTACCTTATGTAGTATAACACTAACAGCTTGAAAGAAATCCCTAAAATTAAAGCAATTTATAGCTTGGAGGAAAAGCCAACAGGTCTCTGAAATGGGCTGAAGTTGCATGCATAAAACAATATGTTAAAAAAACCTAAGACACTTCTTTATGTTTTGTTTGGGATTAAACCTGGTTTGAGATGTGCTCTCAAATCGTCTGTAATTTCAAAAGTTTATATTCTGGAGGAACAGATGAGAAGGTACTAGGCAGCTATTAAATTTATAAGTGTCTAAGTCAAAATCCTTTCTTGTAAGGAGCTTTTTAAATGCAGGTTTATATTGATCACACTTACATAAAAAGGGAAATGATATATTTTACACTATTTAGCTTTGTAATTTAGAGATTTAAACATATGTTCAGGTATTCATTTAGGGGAGAGAGAATGATCCAGCACTGCATATCAACTTGCAATAAATCCCAAAGACTTCAGTGCAATTAATTTGAATTTATGCTGGTTTAACTAGCACTCTGGCCCAGAAATTCTACCCACAGAAATAACAAAATATGTTGAAATTGACGTTTCCTTTTTTTCTTCTCCCTCCTCTAAGGATTTTTAAAACATATCATGGAGAAGAGCCTCAGCCCCGACAGTCAATGAATCAATCTAAATTTTTTGCTATTGGATTTAATGCAATCAAAACTCCATCTTTACTGTGCACACTTCTTGTGTTCTCTTTGTATTGGGGCTTGGACTTTTCCCACTCCATTTGGGGAGGGTAATTTGGTGTCTGAAAGAGATATATATATATATAAATATATATATATATATATATATAATGCTCAGAAACTTAGGCTATGTTTAGGTAACTGGGACCTTTCTGGGGTTTTTTGTTTGTTTGTTTGTTTGGCTGGTTTGTGGTTTGTTTTGTTGTTGTTGTTATTTATTTTCATTAAAGTTAATCCCAGTAGTACATCTTTTGCACAAACTACTGGACAATATTTTAGGACCCTGCCTCCTATAGTTCACTGTGGATGATACAAAATGGCTATAGCATTCTAGGCTGATTTAAGATATACAGGTCAGAATTTTGTTTGACTTATGCTGATAGGCACCTGGAGTCATTCCACTGACTCTGGGAGAGTTATTTGAGGACTGGAAGTGACACTTGGCCCCACTCACTTGATTTTCCTAAGAATGCATTTTTGTTCCAATGCTTGATGAATAGCTGGATACTCCCACTAAAGGAACTGGAGTGAAGGTGCTCAGCTTACTTCAGAAATGTATTCCAATAACGCACAAGATGGCTTTTACTTTTTGATAAGTAACATATTTCTATTGATAGAAAAGTTCCATAGCCTCTAAATCCAATCACAGCCATGCTTTCACAGCCTCCACTGCAGCATCAGACCCTGTGCACTCACAAGTTAGCTGGAATCTGTTGCTGGCAGCAAACATTTTACAAGCTTCTGAGGAATTTTTAAATCATTCCAGATTGTATTAGATCCAAATCCCAAAGTCTTAAAATAAGATAGGTGTGGAGACTGAAATATCTAAACTCCAGCCTCTCCTTAAATTTATGAGAAGTCATATCCAAGGTATTATTTCCTTGCATGACATGAGTAAAAATAAGAATGAACTTGAGCTATAAAACAGCTAAAAATATATTTGCATGTTTATAAGGTCAGATATTGAGCTAGCATAAATCAGCTCAAAGTCAGTGGAATTACCACAGAGGATCCAGGCATTGTAATAAATGTAACTAAATGACAAAGCTGAGTTTTAAAAAAATATGTATTTCATGATACTTCATAATGTGTGTGGGTTTTTTGCATCTTTTGTAAATCTATTTTTATTGCTTTGTTAAGTATGCCTGAACAAGGACAGAAAATGTAAGCTAAGTGTAAGAAAATGCTGATATAAACACTATGGCTTGCTAAGTGCTACATAAACATCAAATGCTGGATTAAAAAGTGGTCAAGGCCTCTGGCCATAAAGCTTTCTGAGGAAGGAAAGCTAAGCATCCCTCCTTTTGCTGAGGAATGCTTAGAGAAATATTCCTCCACTTAAACCATGTTGGTGAAAAATGAACAATGGTATGAAAAATTATTTTCATTCTGTGACATAATTTCTGGAAGAAATTTGTACCTCACAGGATGGAGAACTACATTTTTATCTGATGATGTGCATGGTTTTATTATCTCTTATGGGCTTCAGACTGATGGAAAGAAGATTTAAATGTTCAGTGGACCATAGCACTTTGTGTCTCCTATTCAAAGCATCACCAAAGTAAATAATAACAATTTGCATATATCCATCTGTATTTTCAGAGCACTTTCTGAAGATGAGTGCTGTTCTTTCTGCCCACTTGCAGGTGGGTGGCTACAAACAGCACCATCTTGAAATAGGCTGAATTCCTCCTCTCAGCTGCCAAGGGAATCTTTCAAAGGGAAATTATGAGAAAAGAGAGCATACAAATTTACAGATTATCAAATAGACCAGTTGATAATCATAGAATGGTGTGGGTTGGAGGGGACCTTACAGATCTCCTTGTTCCAACTCCCTGCCCTGGGCAGGGACACCTTCCACTAGCCCAAGTTGCTCCAAGCCCTGTCCAACCTGACCTTGAACACTTCCAGGGATGGGGCAGCCACAGCTTCTCTGTCCAACCTGTGCCAGTCACCACCCCCACAGGGAAGAATTTTTTCCTAACATCTGATCTAACTCTGTCAGTGTGAAGCCATTCACCACTTGTCCTCTTGTAAAAAGTCCCTCTCCAGCTTTCAAATGTGAATGTGGAACAAAACAACATGAAATAAAAGGGAGTTTGGAAATGTTAGAATATCAGCAGATGTTTAAATACTTGAAATAACTTTTCTTATTTGAAACTGACCAATTTTTTTTTTTTTAATGGCAGGTCTAACCACCTCTAAAACAAACACAACATATATGGGGCTATGGCACATTGTTCTGTTTAATCCAAATTTGAACAAAGCATGGGTTTGCTTTCTTATAAAAAAATGCCTCGAAGATTTACTTTTACTGAGGCTTCTTCAGTTCCCCTCCCAAATGCTCTGTTATGTTGGCAATTTGCTGCATCATTTTCCCCAAACAAATTCTGCTCCTGTCAGAATTCTGGCCATGTGTTGCCATATGACACGGTAACATTTGCTTGTAAGAGGAAACACATGACTGTCCAGACACTGTAAATATGGGATTTCTCAATAATGCCATGTTATGTCAAGAAGATCAATATTATCATCACGTAAAATTTAGGGGAGGATAAACCAGGTCTCCTCATTCCACCTGAAACTAAATCCTTGATAAGAAAGTTGTTTTTGAGTGTTCTGATAAAAGAAGATGGTGCAGTGTGACCCTCAGGTTACACTGTGATGAAGTAATGCTTACATCTTGTTCTCATCTTAGCTTGTAAATATTTCCTATTTAAGTGCAGGTAGTTATAGAAAAAAAAAATATTATGTTAAAAAACAAATTGTGGAAGTAGACTAAAATTCAGACCACGGTCTTATTTTCCACTTGAATTTTCTTGTAAAACTTGTATTCTTCTCTCATTTAAAATAGTGTAACGGAGTGATCTAAAGAATCTGTCACTTCTATTGACCTCAGTGGGATCAGCACCATGACTTTGGGTAAATGCAGCTCTTTTAATGTCAGTGGAATTATGTTTTTATGACTGGCCAATTAGTCCCCCATGGAGATACAGCAATAGAAATTAGGGGAGGATTATATGCACAGGGCACAGTGTGATGTCCCTGGTAAAACTAAACAATACAGATAAAAATATGCAAAAACAGTGAGACAAAAGTAATGTGATCAATAAGCAAGAGCCATGCAAATGAGAGAAACTGTGTGAAACTGTGGTGCAAAAATCATAGAAAAAAAATTGGGTGCCTCAACCAGCATGTTTTTAATTTCCTGCTGTCTGCCTCGACTAGAGAGAAAAGGTGTTAGTTATGAAATAGGAAAAAACATATAGAAGAAAATCCATTTGCAACTTGGATGCTTTGACAATTTTGGATCATGCATGCAAAACATTCAACCATTCTTTTATTAGATGACAGCAAGTGAAGTTCATGCAGTTTCAGACAAAAGATTTCTGAACTAGGTACTTGTTTCCTTTACACAAAATAATTGTTTTAAGCATTTCAGCTGTTAGCCTGGAAAGAGAAACTGTGTCATTTTATTTTTCTTCAAATTCTGCTCCTCAGGAGAAACTAAACACGCCTTTCACAACTGCCTGAATAAAGACGACCTCATCTACTGTGAGCATGACTGACTGGTTTTCCAAAAAGGACACCCTTAGGTAGGAAAGAAGAGAGGCAAAAACGATGCACCAAGAAAATGCTGTTCAAAAGTCTGCTATAAAGTGTTTCTACAAAGCTCCACAGGAAAAAGAAGAAAGTGACCCAAAATTTAAACATGCACAGAAGAGCTGAGGGAGAAGGAGGCTTGTGCAGCCTTTAAAAAGTTCTCTTAATATTGAGCTGAACTCAACAGTTCATAGGAACAAAGAGAATATACAGAACATCACATAGTACTAATGGTGGTGGCATGCAGACACCAAAATTGTCAAAATTTGCAACCTGCATAATACCTTTGGTTGAATTGCTCCAACGGTTACCTTCAGAATAATGGGATAAAGTCAACAGATTGACGCATGAACCGCCTGCACCAGATCCAAAAACAGTTATTCTTAATGGGTCACCACCAAAGAACCCAATATTTTCACTAGTCCATCGCAAAGCCTGAATTAGATCAAGGAGGCCATAGTTTCCTTTTGCTGCTTGGTCCCCGGTGCTCAGAAATCCTGTGAAAGGAAATGAAAAAAGAAAGGGTTAGCAAGTGCTCCTCTGACTAATCCTGTTTAAGTCTTCCAAGTAAGATTTCAAAAGTATATGCTGTTGAATATCACGGAACTACGTAATTTTCCATATTGCCCGGGAAAAATTTGTGATTTTACACTGTTTCTGAAGCCAAATTATTCTGTATTCACTCTTTTGGCCATGATGTATTAATGCAGGGAAGATGAAGATCCCAGGCAAAATACTGAATCTTAACAGGTTACAACATATTAATCCCAAAGACTTTGTGTTGACTGTACTAAGTTTAAGAGTAAAGGCTTAGCAAACAGGTAAAATGCAGTTGCTTTGTATGGATTTGGTCAGCTCTGTGTTGCACTCCTGTACCTGGATGCAGCCATGAGCTTTGCACATTGCCTGAGAGGCAGTGATTATCCTTCCCTGAAGACTCTGTTTGGTCATATCCTGGCAACACACGGTCTTTTACTTTTTTCTCCACCCAAAAATGCAGCCTATGTCACAGGACAAGCAAGGTTGAACAATGAGAGCAGCTCTGAAGTCTCCGAGCTCCATCCCACAGTCATTAACCTGAGTTAATTGAATCTACATTAAATGTATAAAGATAATTTAAGTTGTTTTCATGACCCCTTAACAGCAGAAAGATAGGAGCTCAGGGGTAATCTGGAGAGCACTACAGTTGCTCCCTTTTATTCCTGCTGGAGAAAAAGCTGTGGCATGTGTGAGGTGCAGGAATGATTGTTTCACACTTTACTCCCAGCAGTACTCTCACATTTAGTATTGCTGTTACTCTTGTCATTAGAGCCTACTGACTCCAAAAGGGGTACAGTAAAAACTTTGAAGAAAGTCTCTGTTGATCAAAGACATTGCTTTTGGATCCCATTTGTCGACATTTCCAATTTTCTCCGTTTAATAAACAAATGTTTAAATAATACCAGCATTATGAAGTAGTCCATACCTTTATTTGCATATCAAACTGATTTAATGCTCCCTAAATCGTGTAACTGTTTTTCAGTACATGCTTTGTAGAGAAATGCAACCATTACAACAATTATTTCCACATTAATTAGATATCAGTGGGTCTTCTAATCTCGTCAAAGTTCTACTGATTTAACTCTCTTGAGTGCAGACAGCCTACTCAAAAGAAGTTTACAGTAGTTTTGCAGACAAATAGCTCTCAAAGGAGTCCTACTGTTTCATTATGACAATAAAAGCAGCTTTTGAGACATTTCTAACAAGACACGTGAGCACATACATCTATAAAGCAAGGATTTAACAAGAATACAGATAGGTGCAGTGTATACCTATATTCATGGATATAATGAACATGTCATTTGTTACTTTATTACTCTGATTTGACTTCAAAGTTTGCCTTTGCTATTCTGTCCTATGTGTAAACATTTATACTAACAGCCCTTCTCTGCTGTAAACTACACTGAAAGCTAACTGGCCTCACTGCCTCAGTAGCTGAGCTCTGCTCGCTCCATTTAGGGCAAGAAGCTTTTCTTGTGAATCAATCCTGATTTTTGCCATCATGGAGAGGGAACAGAAAAGTGGCATAGGGTGCCAGGCCAGCAGTTCTCCCACTTCCAGGCCTAATGTACCAAGTCTAATGGACATACTTCATTCACTGTAGCCATAGTAAATTGTTACTCCTTTAAAATAATCCCTATTCTAGAACTAAAACCTGCTATATTTACTATTTAACTGCATATAAAGCAAAGTAACACTACTACCATAGAACAAAATACCACCTTGTTATTCAGGGAAAGCCCAGAAATGAAGTCGTAATTATAATTAATAAATTTATTCTTATTTTACTATTACAGCTTAGCACAGAGTTGAGATTATTATGATGTCATTTTACTCTGCTTCACTCTCCTTTATTTTCCTTTGTGGTCAGAGGGTTGGTGTGAATGCCTGTGTGAAAGCATGGTCCCCATACAATCCTTCCAGAAGTATTGATTCTTCTCTTCACGCTCCAGTAAAATGTTGTCCCCCATAAACAGTTTTTAAGGACACAGAGAGATGATGCCTTTGAACATGATAGCAAATCTAATGAAAGCTCCCTAACCAGTCTCGCTGCCTTTGTCAGCCTGCTTGGAACTGAGGAATGGTACCAGGGACTGCAAGAAAATTAAAATGTAGGAATTTATGGGAACTACAGAATCCTGTGCCTACACATGCTGGGAGAGTCTTCCCCTTTCTTTGCATAAGTATAGGGCTGTGGAAAATCAGTGACAAGTCAGTTTATCATATCCAACACATAAGTGACTGCACCGATTTAAGGGATTACAGGAATGATTGGCACGAGTGCTCCTCAAAACACAGGCAGCAATGAGATGAGAGTAGTTACAGAAGTTACCAAAATTGTGACACAAATGTGTCCCTATTTTCTTTTTTCCATTTCCCTGGCTTGCAAATTCCCTCAGCCTGGTCAGGATCTGCTCTCAGCACAGCTGCAGCATTGGTTCAAGGAAATCCTGTAGATTTCTCAAAATGATTCCAAGACATTTATTAGGAAAATAGATGGTAGGGTTATAGCTGAGATACAGCAACTGCCCTGAAGGAACACAAATGCAAACACTCAAACTTTCTGAAAAGGTTATTTTCTTTACTCTCTGCAGAGAAGTGGAAATAAGTAAGTCTTTGCCCGGAAAAGCAACAGATTAAAATTATAGGTAAAGCCTTAGGGCAATCCCCTGGTGTTAAATGAGTTCACATCAAGCCCTGAAGCTGGGTGGGGAAATGTGAAATCCTTGGGAAACCATAAATATGCTACTTTTAAAGAATCTCTGCGATAAGACTTTAGATTAAATATCTTCTGTTGCTAAAAGTAGACATCAGGAACCTTGCATTCAGTTCAGGGAATGTGCCAGGAGGGGGAGCTTTCAGTTTAGTTAAAAAAAAAAAAAAAAAAAGGCACTATTAGTAATATTCTCCTCATTCATCTATATTAAACAAATTATGACTTGTGTCCAGAGCAACAGCTCTGATGCAAAAGAAATATCTCACGCCTCCTCAGCAAGAACCACACTGGCTGACTTCCATATCTGCACAAGATGGATGATGATTGATGTTGACTTTCATGACATGAAACATTTCTATCTCATTTTTCAGAACCATAAGAAGCCTGTTAATATCACCACCTGTTCATGCCTTTTTTTCCTGTATGCAGTGGTATCAGCGTGGCTTAGGAGAATTCAGAATGTCATGAAATCAGACATAGGAGTGATAAAACAGATGAGGTTTTTCTTTCCAGTTTGTGGTGGGTTTTTTTTGGTGTGTTTTTTTTTTTTAAACTAGTGAGGAGTGCCTCAATACAGATAAACTCATCGAACTAAACACCTGCAGAGAAATGCTTTAACACATAGCATTGTATCCAGCCTGTCAGTCTGTGGGTACAGGTACTTATCCCTATTTATCACTTAGATAAAATGGAGATTGGAACAGTATCCTTTGTCTTTATCCAAGAGGAGCTTTCAGGATGTAATTAATATAGATACCATGCATTTCAATGCATTCCTATGACACAATCATCACACTATCTAGTTATTAAGCTCCCAATTTTGAGTCACAGAGGGGAACCTGCTCTCGCTGAAAAGGGCTTGTGTGTCTGAAAGCTTGTCTGTTTTTAAACTGCATCAGCTAGTCTATTAAAATATATTATCTCTCTCTGCAAATACTGTCTTATTATTATCCTTGGATTGTCATCTCACCAAGAACACTGCTATCATTTTCTGCCACCTTTGGCCTTGTAAAAAAAGGGAAGTAAATTATTCCTTATTTTAGTTATTCCAGGAAGACATTCTCAAAAAAACTTAGTTTTGCATTATTCTCTAAAAAGGTCAGATTGAGCTAATTTTGTTCCATAATTAAGTCCTTCTACTGGAAATATTCCAATCATCAGCTGAACAATTGCTATTTTATATTCTGAATGGAGAGGTTATCTCTTCTTTTATCTCCTCCAGAGGAGCAGACTCTAATAGAATTATGGAAGTGAGGATGTGGTCTTTTGTGAGTTTAAGAAAGAGATTTATTAAGCCCATTTGGACCATTTCTCTGTTACATGTCTGTTAGACAAATATGCAGAGAGTGCCACAACCAGGTTCTGTATTTTTTATTAAGATAAATTTTAATGCTTTATAGGCTTATCTGTCTGGGTAATGATTTCTGCTTGCCATTCAGATAAATCTTTTTCTAATATGATTCCAGCATTTTTGAAGAGTAAATAAAATAATGGACTTGGGAAACTTAAAATATGTAGTTGAAAACCTTACTAGTTTGAATTACTTTAAGCTCTGGCCTAATTTGAACATTCATATTAATGCAGAAGGGAAGGCCAAGACAGAATTTTTCCTAAGGTAAGGGGCAGAACGCCTTGTTGGACAAAAAAAAAAATCTGCCTGTGAGAAGATGCACAGCAACAAATGCTACTTTAAAAATAAGAGTGTATAAAGACTAGTCTGACATGCTTAAAGGGGTTTTTCCAAGTGCTGTGTCTCTGAAAGCAGTAACACTTAAGACTTTAATATTCCCCACCTGCTTAGGCATGTGTTATAATAACTGGATTTCCAGTTCCAATTCCCTGTGCAATCAAATGCCATCTTTTATTTTGTTAAAATAAAATGTTAAATTGTACGGGTATAAATGCACCAACGCATACTGGAAGAATTCAGGGCATATTTTGAGGGAAGAATTTATATTCCCTCTGGATCACAAGTTCCTTGCTTAGGACTTTAGCTGGACACCATCTATTGCTACTGAATGGTAATTGCCATGCACAGAAATTTTCTGCTGCCCTTTAAACTATACCTACTCAGATAGGAATGTGAGCAAGATAAGCCATTTTTAAGAGAGATGGTTAAGCTTAAAGAGCACATTTGTTTTCATCTTAGCCATCTCTGTAGAATTCACATCAGCTAACTAACCTGAAGGAATTGTATGAGCAGCACTGTGAACATTAATGTATATGTGATATTCATGAAGC